CGACCAGTATTAACATCAGGTTTGGACAATCACAAGTAGTCATTGATAAATACAGATATACATTGGCTCCAGAATATGCAAATTTTCAATCAAATTGTTGCACTTATAAGCCTTGTTGTTATTCGCCATTTCGACCATAAAACTTTCTGAACTGACAATGACGTACAGTAGCCTACAAATCTTATTTTTTTTGGCAAATTTCCAACATTATGGTTAAAAGGTGTTGTTATGGTACGTTCTGTTCCAGTAATCTCGGAAAAATGCAAGCGCTGGATAAGACTCTATGGTAGACCATGAACATCTAAACTTGCCAATTTTTAACTTAATTATAGCTCAAAAGCAAAAATCTCTACGTTAGCAGAAAGAAAAATAATAGTAGAATACAGTATGGATGTTTTTAGAAAAGTAAATAATTGATTAAAATAGTGTTTGTGGTTCTGATTTTTGTTTTCTACAAAGACATGATACATGGTAACTTTATAAAAAAAAACATATACAAAAATACATTATTTAACTCTGTTTGCATTTGCAGAAAGTTACACATTACACAAGGTAGTCAAAAGGATTTTTTGTTTGTTTGTTTTAAAGGTTTGTTTGTTTGTTTTATGTTGGCTGAATCTGAAAACTTAGGCAGCTGACTTTGCTACCCTATTAGGCAATGACTTTGCATGAAACTGATTTCGGACAGACTTAAGAGGCAGCGTAATGAATTAATGATCTATAGCAAAATAGAGAAAGCTGAAGTGAAAACTAAACAAATTTTTAATAACTACAATAGTAATATCTCGCTTGAAATGACATCAACGGTGGAAAACGTTGGCCAAAAACGTACATTTATACACAGACTGACCACTAACCACACATTTTTAGACACCATCTCTATTTTTTAGCTCAAATGGCACAGATTAGAAAGCACAGGATTGTGGGATATCAAAGACAGTGAATGATACATCTATGTAAAATCGCTTTCAAAAATCGCTTTAGAGATTGACAGCTTCAGTGATTGTAAAAGGAGCGCTCTGCTCTTGCTTACTGTTTATTACCCAATCACAATCTTAATACAAGTTTAGTTTTTCCTGCTGCCAAGCACTGCAAAGTTTCTGAATTGACAACAGTATTATAATGCACGATTGAATTGGAAACTGCAAAGTATGACGGTGATAGTTAACGGATGAGACAAAAATGTACTATTGTTTACATTACATTAGTACATATACTATGTATATGTACTAATGTAAAATTTTAAAGTACTATTCAACAGTTTTTGCTCTGGTACTGAAATTGGTACAGAGAACCATGATATTCTTACTGGTATTGGTACTCACTACTGACATTTTGGTACCGTGACAACCCTACTATATGCATAAGACTTTAAGATCTTTAAATTTATACCCTTTAAAGCATCACTGCCATACACATGCAGGCATCTTTGGCCACCATTTCATCACACACTGTTTTTGCATAAATATATATTTGGACACAAATGTGTGGACGTTTTGTGCTTTTATTTCTTTTTTGCACCTTATAAACATGCAGTAACACATTGACATAGTGAGTGATTAATGTAGTCTCAAAATCTGTGACCGTTCCCTCCAAGCACAGGAGACACATTTGAGATGCATGTTACTGCCATGTGTTAACTGCAATGTGCCTCAGCTGACCACTTGTGATCTCATCACAGATTCACAGAGAGCGATTTTAATACCAGGTGTAAACAAGCCCTTGATGCTTATAACTCAGCCAGACTCTCTTGAGCGGTGGGTTCCAACGCATTTGAGTTTACGTGGTTAAGTTTAGTCTCAGGACCAGTGAAAGTCTTTTAAAATATTACTTTTTCAGTTAGCCAAGTGTCATTTATATCCACTGAAATGTCATTGTTCTGACAAAAACAAGACGTCTGTTTTTAACATTGTGAGGATGCAAGGTGACATCAAGCAGTTATTGGAATTGTGTTTTTGTTTGAGTGTGTCTGTCTGTCCCTGATCCTTCCTGTGATCAAGCTTGCAGGAATGCTTTTTGGGCTGTCACCCAAAATGCTTTGCGTCATGTCTCTCTGACATGTGGCGCAGATTACGCGTGTCACTGACAAACAGAAACACCCCACTCATCCTTCAGCTCCCATGATACTCATTCATCAGTCTCAGCTGTATTTCTGTGGGTTTAATGAGGAAGGGATTCTTGGTATTAAACTGACATCACAGTAATGAAGCGTCAACATATGGTCAGACTTTCTGAGCCCGTAGTGCGTGTTCATCAGAGCCTCCCTCCAGGATTCTCCCCAACATCTGCTGTCACTGTGTACATAAAAACAGTCTGTCAAAACTGAAGGGATTGACTACAAGAGAAGGTGATCAGTGGCCATTATTCATTCAAGTATACAGTCGTCAGCTCTGTTCTAAAGCCTAATGAGCTGTCTTGATATCATAGACAGTTGCCTTCTAAGGAGCCATTCACACACAGCATGTTTTTTGCATTTAAAAACTTACAACTGATCCTAACAATGCTTGAAGTTATAAGATATTATACATAAAAAATACTGTGAAATAATTTTTGAAAATTCTTAATAAAGATTATTGTATATTTTACAAGAAATATTTGAATTATAAGAAGTATATTTGACAAGAAAATACTATTTTAGCTTTTCAATTTTTTTTTTACATTTAATTAAATGTGTTACTTCTTGTTTCCTTGTAATTATGTGTGCAGTTTACTAGCAATTTCTTAGTGAAAACTGTTTCAAAGGAAATCCTACACTAGTTTTAGTGTAGCACATAAATATTATATAAAATAAGAAAGTGTATTTATATTCTTGCTTTAACCACAATTTTGGATAGTTATGCTGCATTGTGTGAAGATCACCGCTTATAATGCATAAAAATGCTGTTTAAGTTTTGAAACAGAGCTTTTATCTGAGAAACTAAGTGGTTAACTGAATGTATCACTTTTCCAAGGCAAAAAAATATTTCTTAGTGTCTATGTTCTTGCTGAGACAAGTTCACTCAAAGTGGATGCAGCTTGGATGTTTCCAGGATAACCTGGTGTATCTCATTTGGAACTGTAGTGTGACCTCCAGGATAATCTCCCATTTTTAATTCACAATTCTATCTGCGGATATCACTGCACCCAGATTAAAACACGCCTCCCACCACGCTACAATATCCTTGGAATTGAGATTAGCATTTCATATTCGCCAAAACGTATCCCCCAACCACCCCGGATGACACTTTGTTCCCATTTGAGCAGATGTAAAGCTGTTAATCTATGAGTTTGATTCGACTTTTAACATTTAACTTTCAATGAAAGAGACACTATACAATTAACAATCCCATGTGACTGTGATGGTTACATGTTAGTCACAAACCATTTGATTTAGAGTTTGAACACAAACCTAGAGTTTGATTGTTAAGTAGACAGCCTCTGCTCTGTGTCTATCGATCATCACGGCTGAAGTTATTGACTGGTGCTAAGTTAAGATGTGCTGTCAAAGACTCATTGATGTTAAACGAATACATGATTGCTGAGGCATTACTGGGCTTCACTCCCAGACTTGCCAAATCAATGTACAAATTCAACACAAAGCCTTTTCGTCTGCAGTCAAGTCGAAGGCACTTTGCCTTAACATGCAGACATATTTCACGCTGTCTTGTCTCACTGTCAAGGCTGTTATGAAAACTGCAGAGAGACCTCATGCCAGCTTTTAAATATAAAATTATTCAGCAGAAACTGAAATACGCGTATGCTTAAGCTGTCTAGGGGCTAGATTTGTATACTTGTGCTGATGGACAAATACCGTACCTGTGTGTGATGTGGAAAAAACAATTCAAGACCACACAGTGATTTACTGTAAAAAGTCAACTTTGCAATTGCATCTTTAAATATATAAAAAAAGAACTCCTTTCCTGAAATTTTCTGTATAATTTTAACAACTATATAATTTCCTGCAAATGTTCTCTGTAAGTAAAACTTGGCATTTGATTAAAATAAATTACATTAATATGTGTGAAAAATGTACAATGTAATAATATTTTTTAAATATTGTACAAAATAATTCTAAAATAAATATTATTTAATCTAAAATATAATGTAATTATAAAACTACATTTTTATTAAATTTACATTCATAATTTTATTTTCTAATTTATATTTGAATTTATTTTAAGGTGCAGTGAACTGTAGCAGAGAGTCCCACAGATAAGTGGAGTGGGGTTAGATCAGTGCTAATATTAGTTCTCTATGAAGGGTGGGACCCACAGGAGACTCCAGCTTTATATGAATGTGATACGGAGCACAATCACCGATTCAGGCTGAACAATGTCCAAGGAATTGATGGGGGAGGGATGGATGCTTGTACACGTGCGCATACACTCACAAACAATAGTGCAGTGCACCGTTAAGTGTACATAATTACGCATATGCTCACACACATGCATGCACAAAGGCAATGTTTATTCCAATATGGAACAATCAAGATAGCTTAAAGCATGGTCCTCATTGTTTATTGTTTTATATCAAGGTTGAGGAGTGAATGACCTGCCAAAACTACTCGCACACACAAATGACGTATTATCTCCCTTTTCATGGCCATCTCTATGACTTCCTTGGCGACAGGCTAATTTAAGGATGTATGATATGATGTCATTAATCATTAATGTAGTTGAACGTTAGGAATGTTGGGACAAGCGTGATGCAGACATTATATGAACAGGGTTGGTAAGATCCCAACAGGAAGTATGTATGTGTTCCCTGTTAATTTTTAATCAGCATCATTCTGAGGGTGCGAGAGTGAAGGGAAAATTGACAACCCAAGATGTTTCCTCTCATGTTAACTTGTCGATCGATTGCATATGCAGCAAACCTTAAACTAGCATCAGTCAATAGCTCGGGCCACACTGATCTGAGTCGTAATCGTGTCTGCCAGCACTTAGACCATCAATCTATGATGCTGCTAAAGTGTGTGTTTGTGTCCTCTAATAATATCCTTCTCTGTTTCTTTTTTCCAGCTGTATTTTGGGGAGATATTGCCTTGGATGAAGAGGACTTGAAAATGTTTCAGATCGATGGGACGATAGAGCTTTCGCAGCAGTCACATGGGAGACAGGGACACACATCTGGTAAGACACATTAGATATCACAGGGCCCCAGACTCCTGTCAACAAAAGTTTCAAATTGGCCAAATTGCAAAGAAATTACTCTTATGAGCCAGTTCTTTTTAAGATTTGTGAAACACTTGCGATTTAGCAGTTTGAATCTAACTCTGTGGGCCAGATGTACTAACGCTTTTGCGCCCAGTTCAGGCGTATTTGTTTCGCAAAGTGCGCATAAAACCATGGCGAGGTATGTACGAATGGGACGCACCGAGATGAAAGCGCAGACTGCATGTCGCGGGAACTGAAAATGGCAAAATGCATTTTTCCATATGCATATGCATTCATGGTATGGTCATGGGGAAAGTGGGAGTGTCACATAAAGAGATGGGAGAGGAAGCGTAAAGTTCGCTTAATTATGTATTCCACGTTATGTACAGAAAAGTCCGGTGAAAGCGCGCCTCTTTTTTGCGCTGAAAATTCTCCGCCTCTTAAAAGCAGGTGTAACTTAGGAAGCGGGTTTCCTGGCATATGCCTTCTGGTGAAATGGCAGCAGTAATCCTAGCAAGGTTAAGGACATAGGCTAAGGATGTCAGGTGTGGTGGAGGTGAAAGGAGCGAGGACTCAGGTGCAGAGATAAATGGGTTCTTTAATGATAATAACAAAACAAAAATACAAACAAAACTACCCCGTAGGGGAAAACAAATGACTTGACTGACTTGAAACAAGGGGTAACACACCAGGTACATGCAACAACGAAACAGCACAGGACTGCAAACACAGGGAGAATAAATAGGGAGACCAAACAAAGGGGGAGAACGAGGGAGGACAGGTGGGGCAAATGAATCAATAATCAACAAGATAGGAGGGGCTAGACAATCAACAGGAGAGCACATGGCACAAGGAAACATACATGACAAGCCATGTGCTCACACCAAACGTGACTTGAACACAAGCACATGGCCAGTAAAACCAATCACCAGCCATGTGCTCACAAAACGAGACATGAACACGCAGCTAATGAAAACACTCATAAGCCACGTGTTCACACAAAACATGACAACATGAAAGCACACAGCTAGTGTAAAAAACAAGCTGTGTGCTACACAGCACAAGACACGAAAGCACATGAAACAAGGCACAGACAAGATAAGACAGGTGTGTCAGGGCTCTGTCACAAAACCAAGAAATAGACTAGACAGAAGTGACAGAACCCTGACACTACCCCTCCTCTAAAGGACGCCACCTGGCGTCCCTAAGGAGGAACACAAAAAAAAAAAGACAGGAACATGACAACTCACCAACAGACAACGACGGGTAGATCAAAACACAGAGACGGAGGGAGGGAGGGAGGGAGGGGAGCCAAGACAGAGCCAGCATGACAGTCCAGGAAGTCTCTATAAGGGACCAGGGAGGGACGGGAGGGTTGAGCCAGGGAGGCTCAGGCGGGTCTGAAGTCCCAGCAGAGGGCCATGGCGGGACAGACCAGGCAGGCTCCAGCGGATCAGGAGTCCCAGCAGAGGGCCATGGTGGGACAGACCAGGCAGGCTCCAGCGGATCAGGAGTCCCAGCAGAGAGCCAAGGCGTTGCCGGAGGGGCGCTCCAGGGGGACTCCGGCGGGTCTGGAGTCCTGGCAGAGGGCCAGGGCGGTGCCGGGGGGACGGACCAGGCAGGCTCCGGCGGTTCAGGATTCCAGAATGAGGGCCAAGGTGGACCAGGCGGATCTGAATACTTGGCAGAAGGCCAGGGTGGGTCAGGCAGCAAAGACTGGGTTGGCAGGACAAGACATTTGGGTGAGTCTGGGACGGCCTCCGGGCTAGCAACGGGCTCTGGGACAGCCTCCTGGAGCTTGGGCGGAACCAGCCTGACTGGCAGCATGGACGGAGCCGACAGGGCAAGGCGCTGGGGCGGCGCCGGAAGGGCAAGGCGCATGGGCGGCGCCGGAAGGGCAAGGCGCATGGGCGGCGCCGGAAGGGCAAGGCGCATGGGCGGCGCCGGAAGGGCAAGGCGCATGGGCGGCGCCGTAAGGGCAAGGCGCATGGGGACGGCCTCTGGGCTGACAGCAGGCTTTGGAACGACCTCCAGGCCCTGTGGTAAACAGGAAGCCTTCTTCCTTCTGTTTCCTTGAGCGAGGCGGCGATGCAGCCTCTTCGGCCAACACTGGGGGCGCTGCAGCCTCTTCGGCCAACACTGGGGGCTCGACTGTGAAAGTGGACGGCTCTGGGAGCACCAGACTTGTTAAGACAGAGAAAGCCTTGCTTCTCTTTCTCCGCTTACGTCTGCAAGGCGATGGTGTGGAGATTGCTGCCTCTGGGGGAAATGCAGCATTCACGGCCACCTCTGGGGGAAATGCAGCATTCACGGCCACCTCTGGGGGAAATGCAGCATTCACGGCCACCTCTCGGGGAAATGCAGCATTTACGGCCACCTTTGGGGGAAATGCAGCATTCACGGCCACCTTTGGGGGAAATGCAGCATTCACGGCCACCTCTGGGGGAAATCCAGCATTCACGGGCGCCTCAGGATAGGTGGCAGAAGAGGTGGACCCGTTCTTCCTCCTCCCTCTCTCCGAAGGGGTCATCGGAGGACTGGGGACCTGGCAGTTTGTGAGGTAAATGGGAGGTGGGCCAAGAGGCGGAAGACCACCCTCTTCCCCACGGTTGTATACAAACCCCACAAACTGCCAGAAAGACAGTATCCCCAACATTTCCATCTCCCAGGCGCTGACAGGCTCGTTCAGGCCGCTGTTAAAAATGTCTTTAAGCACAGTGTTGTTAAGGTCGAGCCCCTCCGCAGTGATGATGAACTGGTGGGCAAACTCTTTTACTGTGGAGCCCCCTTGGCGAAGAGAAAAGAGCTTGCCATAGCGTTCCATCGTCTGACGAGTGGAGGGGCAAGGGCTGGAAACAAGAAGATGCCCATTCTCTGCTGAGTCTTCTGATGGCTGTTTCGTTCTGTCAGGTGTGGTGGAGGTGAAAGGAGCGAGGACTCAGGTGCAGAGATAATGGGTTCTTTAATGATAATAACAAAACAAAAATACAAACAAAACTACCCCGTAGGGGAAAACAAATGACTTGACTTGACTGACTTGAAACAAGGGGTAACACACCTGGTACATGCAACAACGAAACAGCACAGGACTGCAAACACAGGGAGAATAAATAGGGAGACCAAACAAAGGAGGTAACGAGCGAGGACAGGTGGGGCAAATGAATCAATAATCAGGTAACAAGATGGGAGGGGCTAGACAATCAACAGGAGAGCACATGGCACAAGGAAACATACATGACAAGCCATGTGCTCACACCAAACGTGACTTGAACACAAGCACATGGTCAGTAAAACCAATCACCAGCCATGTGCTCACACAAAACGAGACATGAACACACAGCTAATGAAAACACTCATAAGCCACGTGTTCACACAAAACATGACAACATGAAAGCACACAACTAGTGTAAAACACAAGCTGTGTGCTACACAGCACAAGACACGAAAGCACATGAAACAAGGCACAGACAACATAAGACAGGTGTGTCAGGGCTCTGTCACAAAACCAAGAAATAGACTAGACAGAAGTGACAGAACCCTGACAAAGGAGACGAGCTGAAAAGATTTTTGCCACAAGAATCACACTTTTTCAGTTGAGTGAAAATGAAATCATTAAGCGTTACAGATTAAGCAGCTACGCAATATTACAGTTACTGGAAGAAATCAAAGATGACATCGAATCTCCGACTCAGCGTTCACATTTCATTCCAGCAGTAGTTAAACTCCTCGCTACATTACAATTACTGGCATCAGGATAATTTCAAACAGTCATAGCATCAGGCGCTGATTACCTGATGAACTGCAGGTTTGCTACATAACACGCACACTGCGATTTCACATCAAGCGCTTTCTGTGCCTTGGCCATGGCGCTATTAACGCTGCGTTCGCAAATGTACATACATCTGGCCCTGTCTGTAAATCGTTCTGAGCCTTACTGCGTTCACAACTGACTGAGACGTCCTCAGTTTTGTTTAAGATTCTGATGCACATGTTTTTTCAGTAGCAGATGTGCAGTAGACAAGGTTAAAGCTGCAGTCAGCAGCTGCTAAGGGTTGTAAATGGTTTCTGGTGCAGAACAATAACAATGACTTGTTCAAGTTCAAGGTTTGCGCTTCTGTCTGACTCAGTCCTTGAAGCCTCTCATGTGCTTTTTTCATCCTGATGTCAGACCTTCCTCCAGGCGTTAAATTCTCTGATGTAGCGCTGGCCTCTGTGCAGTTTCAACTGCAGGGTGGCACATAGAAACAGGCACACACTCAGTCAGTAGCCTCTGTGGATTGTGTATTTAGGATAATGTCTTGATCAGTCTGAGATGCTGAGCTGTCATAAGGATGGAATAGATGTCCATGATTGTGTTGTGGGCTGTGGGTGATTTAAAGTCATTAAAGTCATATTGAAGTTGAAGAATGTGTGGGGATATTGAGGAGTTATTGGGGAGTTTATAGCTTCAAGTGATTAGACTTGATAAATGCTCCTGTCTCAACTCCACTGCACCATCAGCAAACAACTGTGTGTGTTTGCATAGCAAGGTCTTTGTCTTTTACTCCTTATGTAATGAGAAAAGTGCAGAAATGTGTGTGTGTGTGTGTGTGTGTGTGTGTTTCTTTGTAAGTTAGAATAAACATTGTTAACAAAATCCTTCCTTGCTGTTATCTAAACTGACCAGTCATGTGTGTGTGTGTGTGTGCACGTCTTTCCCAATGGCATGTTAAGGTAAAACTGTCAGTGTGTCTAAAACATGATACAATCATTGGTATGAGTAATGACTACTCACAGACTAAGAGAACTTTACCTTGCTGGTAGCGGCATTGTCAGCAACATTACCTTTATCATCGTCTGAGTCTTTGGCAGCACAAAGACGGAAGTGAGACCAAAAAGACGATAAGGATTCAGCTTTGCGTTTCCGTTCTGAGTGGGGTTGTTACAGGATGTGCCACCGGGGCAAAAGGGCAAACTGCATCAGGACCATGATTAGCAGGAGAACTGATGCATGTTCAAACCAGTCAGGACAGGTCCTCCTTTGATATTTCCAGATTTATCAGGATGCTGTCATGTAGACAGCAGCACACACTTGTATACCTGCCAGTACAATGTGTGTGAGATTGTGCGCACATTAATCCCAAAGCTCAGACTTTTCCTGAGTCTTGGATTTAGAGTTTTGTTTGTTCCTCACTTTCCTGTCCGCATCAGAGAAATTCCAGAGAGAGAGAGAGAGAGAGAGAGAGGGAATAAATGCAAAAGGAAAATAGCAGAGGAACAGAAATGTGTTCAGTGAGAACCCTGGGAGTGAAAGAACAGAGTAGGTGAGATGTTGAATGAAGGAGAAGAGGGTGGCGAACGGGGCCTGAGGAGAGGTGAGAATAAATGGATAAAATAGGTTTAATAATGGCAGACTGCGTTCATGTAACATTATGCTGCCTTCACATGCTATCAAACATTTCCTACTTCCCACTTGTGATTACGAGCTTGTCGCATTCAGGTACTTTTGTTGTTGGAAAGAACAGGAATCATGGGGGACACCAGATTTATTTTTGCCTATTTATTTGGAAAATCTTATTAAATCCAAAATGATAATCAGCATCCCATTCATTGACAACAATATAAACATTCACCACGCTATCTAGATAGACAGATTGCTGACAATTCAGAAATTCGCTGTGTATAAAACATACAAAACACTTATTTAACATACAATACACTTATCACATTTTTCATATATGTAAATATGCACTACTTTAACGACAAGACAGGGCGATGTAGCTATCTAGTGGGAAAAAAAACTAACAAAGAATACCAGTCACAGCAGTCACAGCAGCCGCCCAACTCGGCAACTTGAATAATAAAATTATCCCAGAGATCCCCAGTGGTAAAAATGACTTGAGAGGGCTAATTATCGTATTTTTGATAATTCCGATAGCATGTGAAGGCAGCATAAGCAGTAGTGTTTACTCAATGCTTAACAACAACACCCACACAATGTTCTCATAACATTATGAAATCCCTCTTACAGCATTCTTCAAATAACTCCCTTGTATCAATTGTAATCAATGCAACTATAAGTATGACTTGATTCTGTCTGTTTGTTACCAACACCCTGATGAAGGCCAGTGGGCCGATACACGTTGAGGTTTTAATGGTTTAGCCCTTAAAATAATAAAGGCTTTTTAACTTCTGCATCCCACTGAGTGCCTGGACTTGGATTTTTTCCCATTCTTTTTTATAACTCCCTCGTATGTTTCTTTCTCTCAGGTGGTCTAGGAGAGCATAATCCCAGTAAGAAGAAAGGTTCGTTATATCTGTTGCTTGACAGAATACGACGGTTGGGTTTTGGTAAGTTCACCCTTTAAACATAGACAAAAATGAAACACTGGAAATGTTTTTGTCCTATTTACCCCACAGCACCATCAACGAGACCTTTAGAAATTAGCATTAAAATTTATTTACAATATTTTATAAATGCATCTTATTGTGTGAACAATTGATTTTATCCATGTATGTGATTCTTTTTTTTTAATTTTTAATTTTATTTTTATTAGTTGTTAAATAGTATTGATAACTCAATCTTCCGGTGAAACGACAGACTTCTTTCTGGTGACGTTTGCCAGACTTCTCCAATCATTTGTCCGCTTTAATCCCGTCCCTTTCTTAAATTCATCGGTTAATCTGTTCCATTTGGACGTACGTCACAGTATGGATGAAAATATTAGTTGTTACTCCATTACCTAACAGCATAATTATTTCAATTTGAACACACAGCCTTTGTATTGCCAATTTTAATTCTTCTGAAATTATTCACCCGTAAGAAACACTGAATTCATTCATTCCACAATATTTCAGAGTTGTTGTGTCTCTTAATTAATACAGATTTTTATTGTTTAGTATTTGCATAGTCCATGCGTTTTGATTCAGTTTGAGAATTATAGAACTTATGTTTGTAATTTGAGACAACTTTCACACTTTCAGACGTGCTGACAGTCACACCGTCTCGAAACGAGCCAGATATTCAAGAGTATATGATCATATGATGCCGTTTTTTTCCAACTCATTCAGCACTCCAGTTAGTCCAACTGTACACTGATCTGAGGACTGTCTGCCAAGTGTTTCATAAAGGGGGCAAAATTTATATTTCTAATGTCTTTTGCTGAAAAGCATAAAGTATAACAAATAAAATGTATTGGAAATATAACAGTGATCCGATGGCAGTAATTTTCGAGTCAACAGCAGTAGACTGTAGCAGTTCTCTCTCGAGTCAAGAGTTGGTTATTGGTTACAACAGTTCTCGAGTCACCAGTACACGGAACGTCTCGGTTACGTATGTAACCCTCGTTCCCTGAAGGAGGGAACGGAGACGTTACGTCAGTTACTGACTTGGGGGTTTCGCTAGAGAGCCTTATCACCTTTGAGTATTAGAAAACGAGCCAATTGTATGAAAATACCATGGGTCTGCGGAATTTGCATCACAAACTCCGCCCCACCACGTGGGTATAAAAGGAGCCGCGAGTGCAATCTCACATTATGTTACCTGCTGAGGATCCCAGACTGTGCGCTCCGGCCTTTTCAGCGGTACAGCGGTAGTGGCAGGCGGACGTAACTTCTCCGTTCCCTCCTTGTTTTGAGATTGTAGAATCTCGCAAAAGTGTTAGGTGTCGCCCTGCCTGCAGCTCTAAGATGTCTGTTAGCGAGGCGCCATGTCCTAGAGTCCAGGAGGAAGCCACACTCCTGGTGGAGTGTGCCTTCACCACTAGGTGGCATGGCAGGCCCTGCGCCTGGTTAGCCAAGACAATGGCGTCCACTCTCCAGTGAGATAACCTCTGCTTGGAGAGAGCCTTTCCCTTCAGCTTCCCACCGTAACAGACAAATAGCTGGTCTGAGGTCCTGAAACACTGCGTTCTGTCTACGTAAGCATGAAGGGCGTGTACTGGACAGAGCAGTGCCAAGGCTGGGTCTGCCTCCTCCGAGGGCAGCGCTTGCAGGTTCACCACCTGATCCCTGAAGGAGTGGTGGGAACCTTGGGCACATATCCAGGCCGGGGTCTCAAGATGACGTGAGAGTTAGCTGGCCCGAATTCCAGGCACGCTTCGTCAACCAAAAATGCCTGCAGGTCCCCTACCCTCTTGATGGAGGCCAAAGCAACCAGGAGCGCCGTCTTCATGGAGAGGTACTTTAGCTTGACTGAGTGCAATGGCTCGAAGGGAGCTCTCTGCAGTGCAGATAAAACAACTGTGAGGCCCCAAGAGGGCATATGTGGGGGGCGAGGAGGATTTAACCTCCTCGCCCCTCTAAGGAACCTGATGACCAGGTCGTGCTGTCCTACTGTCTTAGACTCCACAAGGTCGTGGTGCGCAGAGATCACAGCCACACAAACCTTCAGGGTGGAAGAAGACAGCCTTCGTTCCAGCCCTTCTTGGAGGAAGGAGAGTACAGGCCTGATCGGGCATTTTCTGGGATCTTCTCGGCGAGAAGAACACCAGGTGACGAAGAGGTTCCACTTCAGAGCATGGACAAGGCTCTCGTGGACAAGGCTTTAGCTGAAATGATGGTAGCCACCACCTGAGGTGTGCGCTAGTTAGGGATGCTCATATTGACAATTTAACCGTTAACCGAAAGTAAAAATTTTGACCGATTAATACAATCAGTTTAACAGTAAAAAAAAAAAAAAAAATTGTAGGGTTTTTTTTGTTTGTTTGCTGCATGGTTAAAAAAAATACTATAAAAAAAATACTATATAGCGGCAGCCTATATTTGTTAACTCAAGGGTGCCTACAGACATACAGTGGTGTGAAAAAGTGTTTGCCCCCTTTGTAAATATGATCAGAGATGGCTGTAAAAAATAAATCTGCATTGTTAATCCTTTTGATATTTTATTTAAAAAATTTGAAAAAATCTAACCTTTCATTGAAGTAAAAGAATTGAAAGTTGGGGGAAAATCACATTATGAAATAAATGTTTTTCTCCAAAACACGTTGGGAACAATTATTTGCCCCCTTTTATTAAATACTTTTTGCAACCTCCTTTTTCCAAGATACCAGCTCTGAGTCTTCTCCTATAATGCCTGATGAGTTTAGAGAACACCTGACAAGAGATCAGAGACCATTCCTCCATACAGAATCTCTCCAGATCCTTCAGATTCCCAGATCCATGTTGATGCTTCTTCTCTTCAGTTCAGCCCACTCATTTTCTATAGGGTTCAGGTCAGGGACTGGGATGGCCATTGCAGATGCTTGGTTTTGTGCTCAGTGACACATTTTTGTTTTGATTTTGATGCTTGTTTTTGGATCACTGTCCTGTTGGAAGATCCAACCACGGCCCATTATAAGATTTCTAGCAGAGGCTGTCAGGTTTTGATTTTTTATCTATTGGTATTTGAACGAATCCATGATGCCATATATCTGAACAAGATGTCCAGGACTTCTGGCAGAAAATTAGGCCCACAACATTAAAGATACAGCAGAGTATTTCATTCTACACATGGGGTACTTTTTATCCCTGTGTGCACCAAACCCATCTTAAGTGTTTGCTGCCAAAAAGCTCTTTTTTTTGTTTCATCTGACCATAGAACGTTTGAAAAGTAACTGACACTACAGGAACTTCAAATGGGATGGGTTCTATGGTCTGATGAAACAAAAAAATTAGCTTTTTTGGCAGCAAACACTTAAGATGGGTTAGGTTCATACAGGTATAAAAAGTACCCCATGTGTAGAATGAAATACTCTGCTGTATCTTTAATGTTGTGGGCCTAATTTTCTGCCAGAAGTCCTGGACATCTTGTTCAGATATATGGCATCATGGATTCGTTCAAATACCAATAGATAAAAAATCAAAACCTGACAGCCTCTGCTAGAAATCTTATAATGGGCCGTGGTTGGATCTTCCAACAGGACAGTGATCCAAAAACAAGCATCAAAATCAAAACAAAAATGTGTCACTGAGCACAAAACCAAGCATCTGCAATGGCCATCCCAGTCCCTGACCTGAACCCTATAGAAAATGAGTGGGCTGAACTGAAGAGAAGAAGCATCAACATGGATCTGGGAATCTGAAGGATCTGGAGAGATTCTGTATGGAGGAATGGTCTCTGATCTCTTGTCAGGTGTTCTCTAAACTCATCAGGCATTATAGGAGAAGACTCAGAGCTGATATCTTGGAAAAAGGAGGTTGCAAAAAGTATTTAATAAAAGGGGGCAAATAATTGTTCCCAACGTGTTTTGGAGAAAAACATTTATTTCATAATGTGATTTTCCCCCAACTTTCAATTCTTTTACTTCAATGAAAGGTTAGATTTTTTCAAATTTTTTAAATAAAATATCAAAAGGATTAACAATGCAGATTTATTTTTTACAGCCATCTCTGATCATATTTACAAAGGGGGCAAACACTTTTTCACACCACTGTATTTTGCTGAGCAAGCAAAATGAAGCGAGCGAGCGAAAAATAGCACTGTGTGGACCATTTCGACAGAAAGGGCGACGAAGTTACTTGCAAAATATGCTACGCGGTATTAAAATACAGCAATAGTTACAAGTACAATACAATATCACTTGCGAAGCAAACATCCACAAGCAAATGAAAGTCGCTTCCCGAAGCTGGCCATTCTTGCGAGACGTTATCTCTGTATTCCCGGGACATTTGTGCCATCGGAGAGGGTGTTTTCTGCCGCGGGTCGAACTCAACAGGCTGCGCTCCAGACTAATCCCACATCATGTAGACATGTTACTTTTTTAAAATAAAAACTAGACAATGTGTGGATTGAGGTAGGCATGTTATTTTTATTTGACAAAAAAAACTTAGTCTGGAGGGAAAAAAAATGCTGTTTTTTCAAAGCTTCAAACGGATTCAGTGATGTCTTTTTGTCATCTTAATTTGTTAATTATTTAAGTTAAAAATATATATATAGTGTAGGCCTATTTTATGTTTTTTATTTATATTATTTTATTCTGTTTTTCTCTGTTGTCACTGTCAAGTGCGTGAACATTTGATGTGAATCCAGATTCTGTTGTTGATCTGTTAAAATAAACCCGTGAATTTTTTTTTTGTATTTTTAACGGGTCACAGACACTCGTCAGTTGTATTTTTATTTAATCAATAGGCTATTATAATCTTATCAGTTAACGGTTAATACTCAGATAACGAGTGGCGGTTGTCGGTCGGGAAAATTAACCGAAATGAGCATCCCTAGCGCTAGTGCATCCGAGCCGAGGGTGCCCTCGGTCAGGGAGTAAAACCAGCGGCAATGGGAAGTGTCTGGGAAGGCAAAGAGATCTACCTCGCCGAACTGTTCCCAAATCAGCTAAACCTTCTGGGGATGGAGTCTCCATTCCCCGGGATATGGCCAAAGTTGTTAGAGCTCGTCGGCTGCACGATTCTGCTCTCCCGGAATGTGAATGGCCCCAAGCAACCTCAGATGCTTCTGACTCCATAAGAGGAGATGGCGTGCGAGTTGCGACATACGGCGAGAGCCCAGACCACCCTGATGGTTGATGTACGCTACTGTCACCATGTTGTCTGAACGGACCAGTACGTGCTTTCCCTCCAGCAACGTCCGAAAACTGTGCAGAGCTAAAAGTAAGCGTGACTGCTGCTGTGGATGCCATATGCCCCAGCCTTGCCCTCGAATTGACTCAGGCAATTCAGCATTGACTGTTCGCCCGCTCGCTCGCAAGCTGCGCGTAGATGGTAACCGAGAAAAGAGTCCATACCGAGAAAAGAGATTCTCTGTACGGGGGAGAGATTGCTCTTTTCCCAGTTGACCCGAAGGCCCAGACGGGGGAGGTGCCGAAGCACCAGGTCCCTGTGCTCGCAAACCTGCTCTCGAGAGTGTGCTAGAATCAGCCAGTTGTCGAGATAGTTCAGGATGCGAACCCCGTGTTGCCTGAGTGACACAAGGGCTGCCTCGACTACCTCCGTGAAGACGCGAGGAGACAGGGCTAACCCGAATGGGAGTACCTTGTACTGATATGCCTACCCCTCGAAAGCAAACCGTAGAAACGGTCTGTGTCGAGGAAGAATGGAGACATGAAAGTACGCATCCTTCAGGTCGATCGCTGCAAACCAATCCAACAGACAAACGCATTCGAAAATGTGTTTGGCTGTCAACATGAATGGAAGCCTGTGAAGGGTTCGGTTCAAGACGCGCAGGTCCAGGATTGGTCGTAACCCACTGCTCTTCTTGGGTACAATGAAGTAGGGGCTGTAGAAGCCGGACCTCATTTCGGCTGGAGGGACGGTCTCGATCGCACCCTTTAGCCAGTAGGGCAGCGACCTCTGCATACATGACAGGGGCATTGCCACCCACCAAGGTATAGCGGACTCCCCGGAAACGGGGAGGAGACCGTGCGAACTGAATCGCATAGCCGAGCCTGATTGTTCGCGCGAGCCAGCTGGACAGAGGTGTAGCGTTCCGGTGTGGGGGCGTGGTCAAATTCCGCATCCTGACAGAGGAGGCCAGGGAAGGACGAGCGTTCCGCGGCAGCCTGCTCTGACAGGGCTCTGGCGGCAGAGGGGGACGAGAGTGGCGAGGCATAGCATCGCACACTGCTATCCGTGACCTCTTGGGGCTTGGAGGAAGGGGAGTCAGTTCTTTCTTTTTAGAACAAAAGATTCTCCCCCGGCCCTCCACCGGGGGATGGAGTGGTCCTGCTACCAGCTCCTGAAAAGAACTGAGCCCTAGCTCTAAGCTGCCCATCTCATTTCTTTGGCCCGGTGAAAGCTGCTGCTTGGGCCGAGCAGGAGGGGCGGGAGCCGCAGGAGGGTGGCCTCGGCGGGAAGCAGACTGAGGGGGCTGCACCGACAGCTGGGTGGAGGCAACAGCTGGCCATCGGGGAAGTATATGCTTTATCACCTCAGTCTGCTTCTGGGTGGCCGATAACTGTTGGGCGAAGTCCTCGACCACACCGCCGAAGAGCCCAGCCTGGGATATGGGGGAGTTGAGAAAACGAGTTCTCTCAGCCTCCCGCATGTCAGTCAGGTTGAGCCACAGATGACATTCCTGGACCACACAGGTGGACATCACCTGACCCAGGGATCGCGCAGTGACCTTCGTTGCCCGTAGAGCGAGGTCGGTGGCAGTGCGCAGCTCTTGCATGAGCCCTGCCCTTGTGCATGTCCCTGAGCACCCTCACCTGATGGAGGCGATTTGGGGACACAGTTGCATCGCAATAGCGCACTCCACCAGGGGGATCCCAGTGTACCTGTTGGCCGCCGCGCCGTCGAGGGTAGAGAAGGCGTGGGATTCCGCCAGGCCCCAAGAAGTCAACGGGGGCTTCCACGACCTGCCGCCCCCAGGAACCAATCATCCAGCCTTGAGCGCTCGGGGGAGGGTGGCGGGCGCCACTCAAACCCGATGCTCTCAGCTGCCCGGGCAAGCATGGCCGTCAGCTCTGGATCAGACTCGGCTAACGCTGGGACTCCCGAGGGAGGCAACGCAGTCGAATCCTCATCTCCAGAGGAATCAAGCCCGCCTTGTGACGCTGTGAGCGACATGGTGTCATCCGCCGGAGCCCCGAATGAAACACTGGGTCCCCGAGAGTAATCAGGTTCACCCGGAAGCTCCACGGCTTGCGATGTGCAGGGGGGCGTGGCCCGAGGAAGACTCGTCGGGTTATTCCACACCGTAACCTTCAGATCACTCTGGCCACCAGCCAAAGTATCCCCTCTCGAGGAAGAGATAGATTGGGGTGTGGCAGAGGGGACTGTACCCCCATGGAGGTCATTGAGTCTCGATCTTAACACCGTGATGGTCATGTTCCCGCAATGAGAACATGACTCATCCACGAGCGCTGTCTGAGCGTGATTAAAGCCCAGGGGAGAACACGAGCCGTGTGCAAAATCACTGCACAGACCAGCAGCAGGACCGTGAACCCGATTGAAAGGTGCCGTCACACCAACACCGACTGAAGAGAGACGCTCATTGCTTTGATGCGAAGAAAAGCACATAAACACTTTGGCCCCCGAAGTAGAAACATAATGCGAGATGGCTCTTTTTATACCCACGTGGTGGGGCGGAGTTCACGATGCAAATTCCGCAGACCCATCGTATTTTCATACCATTGACTCGTTTCCTAATACTCAAAGGTGATAGGGCTCTCTAACCCCCATTTCGTCAGTCACTGATGTAACTCGTAGTGACTGACTGAAAGGGAACTGAGGAAACAGTTTGGACTTGGACATGTCCAGGAGAAACTGATGAGCTGCTGATACAACGAGCATGCGTGAACTAATTAGTAGACTTTAACGAGGGGGTGAAATTAAAAGGTATTTTATGGCTTCTCATGGTTTATGTATAAAGGTCAGTTGATTAAGGCTAGGTATATTCATTTTATATGGTTTAGACATGTAAAACATCCACGTTTCACATCATTGTTGGGTGCATTAATAATAGAATTGCATATACAGTACGTGACGTCATGTCGCGTTTGCGTGATTACGTAACGGTGAATTGGTGAATAGATTTTTTTTAACTGGTTCATTGAAACAAGCTTTCCAAAAGAAGCAGTTCAAGGAAAATAATCGGATTTCTCATCAATACTTTCAACCTTTCATAAAGAATTTTGTCTTTATGAAAATTATATATTGGGTATGGGTATAATTTTTTCATTGTGACATATGTCAGGGTATGATTTTCAATTTGAATAGTCACATAACCCGCATAACCTGACTTCTATACCTAAACAATTTTCCGATATACAAAACACCTAACGGCCAGATAAAAATACAGTCACAAAAATGTAGATGTCGTTTTGGCCTTTATTCATATAAAACACAGTAAAAAAGTAAAGGGACAGGATCGGAAAGGACCACAGGTGGGAACTCTAAGCATAATGTGTTGGAGTGCTACACGAAAGGCAATTTTTATATGGTTTAAATATGGTCAGGTTTAGGGTAAGAATATAAATGTAAAAAAAATTATTTATGAATTCAATTTCTATTCAACATCGATGTCATCTTATTTAGGCATGCCAATTTATAATGATATTTTGAGAAACTATATTTATGATCATAGAATTATTTATGCGAGTCAATCTATTGACACCAAAGTCTTCTATTTGAAAGCAGTGGGTTCTCAAATTAAATTCTCGAGAAAAAGGAATGGGTGCAAAAGTACACAAACCTACTGTTAGGTGTTTTCTATCATTCTATCTACTCTCTCTATGGTGCAGAGTCGTGGCCAGTGAACAGCAGTAAAGATGTGTCGAGCTCCAAGGCTGGAGGGAGGAGTGTAAACGGCGGCAGAGGTGTGAAGTCTCGAGTGCCCCGTGCTGCCACATCCCGAGCTGAGAAGATCTGGCCTGGAGGAGTCATCCCTTACGTCATAGGAGGCAACTTCACTGGTAAATGTGTGTGTGTGTTTAACATCAGCATAAGAATATGTATGATTTACAAATGATTTCTGTGTGTGTTTCTCAGGAAGTCAGAGGGCCATGTTAAAACAAGCAATGAGACACTGGGAGAAACAAACGTGTGTCACTTTCATTGAGAAAACTGACGAGGAGAGCTACATCGTCTTCACCTACAGACCCTGCGGGTTTGTGTTTCTGTTTTCCCTATAATCAGAATACATTTTAGAATAGTAGTGCACACATTTACACTGTGTCCTTGTGCTTTTGGCACCAATATACTCATTAACATTGCTGAATGTTCAGTCAGTGGTCGGCTAGTGGAATTTCTCTCCAGCCTGTTTCCACTGACTTTAGAGCCAAATGATAATGTAACTGATAATGTTACTACATAACCCTTGCACAATCAAACATCCAGAGTAATTTACATCCAAAATAATTCTAAATTTAATTCAGCATTTTTTGACATAACAAGCTATAAGCTACGTTTGAATTATTGATCACAAGTCATAATCAATTCGTACATTTGATACAAATTAAATCAATACATTTTATGCAGTGAGCCTTGAATGTCTTAACATAATGTCTGTCAACTGAACGCACATTACCGCATTTGGTGATTCTAGTGTTTACAGCTTTGTTGATTATTTTTAAGTGAATAGATTTGTGTAAACTAGTTTTAAATGTCATCAGCTAGACTAATTTGTTGTTTTGAAAACCTTCACTTTAAAGTTGTGATGTAATGGAAGTAGTGACCGATCTTTTCTTCCGTGTTGTGTCGCACGTCTAAGACGGATTATCGAAAAAGAAAAAAAATGTAGAGCTGGGACTTGGTTCTATTCATCGGTTGTTGATTGGATGGAGAAAGATCTGAATGTGAGCTTGCAGACGACTGTAAAAACGGGGAGAGGTAAAATTATAACAAAAGTTCGATAAGTGTTTGATATAATGTTTATGCACTAGGCAAATAATGCTGCGCATCCGTGTTGTTGCGACATTCGCACTGGTGCCATTTGCTTTTCAATCCTCAAATCGCTAACATTTACCATGATTTACTGTAGTAACTGAAACCGTGATATTGTGGCAGAAATGTGGGATATTCATATAGATTTTTTAATATTATTAAAGGTCCCATGACATGCTTCTTTTTGTTGGCTTTGATATATGCCTTAGTGGTCCCCAGTACGGATGTCACGGTACCAAAATTCCAGTAGTCGGTACCTATACTATTAAAATTTTACGGTTCTCGGTACCAATTTCGGTACCACAGCAAAATCTGTTTGAACTATTTTTCCAATTTATTTAACTATTTGAAAAGAAATATTAAATTCAATTCAATGACTTTATTATTTATGACGGTAAATGTATGAAAGCATTGAAGGCTACTGTTGTGATGTCTGTCTGTGTTCCCCCTGTCTTTGTGCATTTGGTTCAGTCCTGTTCCCTGTTTTCCCGCTCCTCGTTTGTGTTCATGTATACCACGCCCCTTGTTATCTTGTTTAGCTCGTTTGTCCCTTGTATTTAAGCCCTGTGTTTCAGCTCTGTCTTTGTGAGTTCTTGTTTGATTGTTTACGTGTATGTTGGTTGCTGCTATTCTTGAATCCTGTTCCTGAGTCTGGTTTCATGTCTGAGTTTGTATGGTTTGTAGTCTATTGAATAAAGTGTGCTGCAGTTGGATCCTGCTTCATCCCTTGCTTCAACTACACAAAACGTAACAGAAGAACTCACCAAAACTATGGATCCAGTAGTCACAAACAACCAGGCCCTAAGGAGATACCTGTTGTCAATGTCACAAGATGGCCAGCCCATAGTAAGGTATGTGAAGGACTTCTGGGCTTGCTGCCATTTAGCGTCCCTAGACGACGTCCAGCTTATAGAGCTGTTCCGGAGCGGACTAGTCGAGGGCATCGCTCTTATGATGCCAGATTACTATACCAACTGGACGCTAAAACGGTATATCGACCTGGCCCTTTTCCTGAGCAATTCGTCGTTTGCTGTGGACATGGAGAAGAAACTCCGTCAACCAGTAGTTTCCCTTCAGTCTGGTCTTTACATCACTCCCATTATCAAGCCACCCACCAGATCGATCTATAGCCGTCTGGTGTCCAGCGTGGCCGTTCCCCCGCTGAGGTCAGCACGGGTTGCCAAAAAGGCTAACCTGCTTGGGACTCGTTTCGTCCAGACCGTCCCGCCTGCCGAGCCTGAGCATCACGTCAGCGCTGTCGAACCTGTGTTCCAAGTCAGCCCTGACGAACCTGCACTTCACGCCGGTCCTGCAGAGCCTTCGCCGCTGGCACCGTCCAGTCCTGCCAAGCCTTCACCGCTGGTTCCGTCCAGCCCAGCTGAGCCTTCACCGCTGATTCCATCCCGCCCAGCCGAGCCTTCACCGCTGGTCCCGTCCTGCCCTGAGCTTCCTTCGCCGCTGGTCCTGTCAAGCCCTGAGCTTCCTTCGCCGTTGGTCCGGCCCAGCCCAGATCTTCACGTCACGCCTGCCGAGCCAGAGCTTCACGTCACGCCTGCCGAGCCTGCGCGTCACGTCAGCCACACCGAGCCTGCGCTTCACGTCACGTCTGCCCAGCCAGAGACTGTTCACGTCACTTTTGCCCAGCCAGAGACTGTTCACGCCACGCATGCACCGCCTGAGTCCTCAGCAGATATGGCCACCGTTATGCCTGAGCCCCCAGTGACCGCAACACTGGCCATTATGGCCACAGCCATGTGGTGTGTGTGGGCTGCGCACACACTTGAGCCGGTGTCTGTTCCTGAGCCGCGGTCTGTTCCTGTTCCCGAGCCGGCGCCTGTTCCAGCCTATGACCCCATAGCTACCCGCAAGAGAATTTTTGGGGGGGGCAGTAGGTACTCGCCATGGCCACCCGAAGGGTCCTCACCGGCGTGGCCGCCCGAGGGGCCTTCACCGCCGTGGCCGCCCGAGGGGTCTTCACCGCCGTGGCCGCCCGAGGGGTCTGCTCCGCCCTGGCCACCGGTACTGCCAGCGCCGCCCTGGCCGTCTGCACGTCTAGCTCCGCCCACGTTCCATGGCCCAGGTCCACCCACGTTCCATGGCCCATGCCCGCCATTGGAAGGCCCTGGTCCCGTTCCCTGCGCGGACCTGGCCCTCCATCCCTCCCCCGGGACCGCCTCCGCTCCACCACCCTCCCGAACTGTCTTGTGTCCTGTTTTGTTGGGCGTCGGGAGCCGCCCATAGAGGGGGGGCTATGTTGTGATGTCTGTCTGTGTTCCCCCTGTCTTTGTGCATTTGGTTCAGTCCTGTTCCCTGTTTTCCCGCTCCTCGTTTGTGTTCATGTATACCACGCCCCTTGTTATCTCGTTTAGCTCGTTTGTCCCTTGTATTTAAGCCCTGTGTTTCAGCTCTGTCTTTGTGAGTTCTTGTTTGATTGTTTACGTGTATGTTGGTTGTTGCTATTCTTGAATCCTGTTCCTGAGTCTGGTTTCATGTCTGAATTTGTATGGTTTGTAGTCTATTGAATAAAGTGTGCTGCAGTTGGATCCTGCTTCAACTACACAAAACGTAACAGCTACATGCTGTTTAAACGAAAATATTAATGATATTGAGAAGTGAAAAATAAGCAACCTTCTATGCACACATTATTATTATTAGTAGTAGTATTTTTAATTAATGGAGACGTAGTTAAATATATTGTACAGTAGCCTAATATAATTATTTCTGTCAATTTCTTTAAGTTAAACCGAACTTTTATTTTGACTGGTTGCCGTGAAGACCTTTGAGTTTCTGTGCGAGTATGATATGACGATAGTTTTTCTCAAATGAAACGCTAAAATGCTCATGAAGTGACTCGGAGATGAATTGAATCATGAATCATGTCATCGTATCGTGAGGCAGACTGAAAACAGCGCGAGCGTCACTCGTGCTTCAGTGTGTGTGTGTGTGTGTGTGAGGTAACGTTAAATGAAACCGCGCGTCTGCGCCATTCATTCACACAGAGACAAGCAGAACATGCAGGGTTAATATTTAAATAGTCTTTTAAATAGTCTACCGAATATACCCGGTACTACAGAAGTACCGGTACTTTGACAACACTAATTTCCACACATGGCTCTTTCCTCCTTTCTTATCAACAAGTGGATTTACAGACACCACTTCAGCAGCGCCGCTGGTCGCCATGTCTCAGCGCTTTCATGAAGAGGACGCCACTTCACGCCCTTCGTGCATGCATGCGCGTCCAGAACCGGGTTTGACCGGGTACTCGGTACCACCGGTACTTGGTACCGTGACGTTTACTTTTTTTAGTACCGACTTGGTACCGAAGTACCGAATATTTTGACAACACTAGTCCCTAGTACTGTATCTGAAATCCTTTTCCCAAAATTCAGCCTTGGTACAGAATTATAGCCACTAAAGCCAGTCCCACAATGAGCTTTCCTTCAGACGTGCCATTTCGGAGTCTGTAGCTTTAAATGCTAATGAGGAGGAGAAAGGGGCAAGGTGTAGGGCGGGTGTTGCCTTGACCATCTTGCGGCAACGGTACCATGCATGTTTACATTGGATATATTGCAATGGCACGCAGACACACAGTCGTTCAAGCATTTCAGTTTGACCCAGAATCTGATCCGGATGGAGAAGCAACGGATGAAGAAGTTGCAACTCAGCAGCTCCGGTACTTTATTCAGATGGTTTACGTATGCTGTTAGTTATTATCATGTAGCTAACACTAGTCTACTGCGGCCTTTTCATGTTGCTCTGATTTGCTATCGTTTTAAAGCTGTATTAGCTCTGCGATCTTGAAATGCGGATATCGCGCGCGCCATATCACCGACAGGAGAACAGTTATCCAAATAACAAAGAAGTGAACAACACTCGCGTTACAGTGTGTGCATTCACACACATACTTGATGCTATCTACCTTTACATTAGTGACAGTAACCCGACTGTTAGCTGCATAGCTAATGTTACAGCCACATTGTGTAATGTAATGTTACAGCCACTACGTGTAACAAGCTAGGTAACCATAAACAGTAAAGCAACACAATTATATATCATTAGTTGACTTACTTGTCCGAGGTTTGTAGCTGAGTCAAAGACAGTTGGTACTGATCCAGACTTTATTTTCAGACGTTCAGCAAGCCCAGCTCTGTATTGACCCAAGTTGAGGAAACAGTCGTAGGTGAAATGTTTGGCGCAGACATACAAAACTTTGGGAAGTTGAGT